ATTCCAGAAAAAAAGCAATGAATCCCCCTTTTTATTTATTTCAAGATGTCCTTGACTTCCTCTTTGTTCATTTTCGTGCTCACGACCCACAAGCACTTTTATGGTGTCCATCAGAAAAAAATTCCTAAAAAGTAAATCAAAAAAATCCCTCCCTCAGTCCGAGCATGGAAAAGTCCTATATTTCACTTCCCTGTGGGATTCACAGGCAAGTAGCCACTGCAGCCTCAACCAAAGCAATAAAGTGCGCCTTGTGGTGTCGTTACGATGTTTGTTTCAGAGGATGTGCCGCCTACGATACTCTTCGGGCTCCCAGCGGGTTCGGCGACGTTCGAACCCTCGGGCTCCTTGGCCGTCTTTCCTGGGAGTATCCTGCATCTCGAGTGTCTCTTTGCCAGGCGCCTCGGCAACCCCGAGTGGACCTGGACCTCGAATTTTCGACAATACTTGACTGGTTAGTACAGCTCGACAACTTTTCAGTCAAATTTGGTTTAAGTACAGCTTTAAATATATCCTTTTTTTTATCTCAAAATAGTAGTGTCATCACGTACTGAGAGTGTATTAACATTTAATTTTGTCATGTATTCTAGTCTTCCCCACATAGGTCCCCAAATACACAGGCATTATTTCAGTGTAATCAACATAATTACCCACTTGGGACCCCCTATTACTTTGACTTTTTTCTTTAATTAAAGTCCTCGTCAGTCACATACTCAGAAAAAAAAATCGTGATTATCGTGGATGGCAGGCAGTAATAGTGGCAGGTTAAATATAATTTAATTTCGCAGCCACACGAGGTGGGGCTGGAGAAAAAATAAAGAGGAGGAATCAGTACTCGTCTCTTATTCCAACGGTGTAGAGACCACCGCTACCCACAAATTTCATTTCTCTTCCTATGTATGCAAGTATGTGTGAGTATGTGCTCGCAAAAATGAGCAAGACCATTTTCTCATTCCCTACTCTCGTCACCGAGTAATATATTGCAGGCACGGCTGGTAGCTGTGGTCACTCCCCAATCATCCATATGTGTATAGGAACGTGTAATTGTATGTGTACTATCGTTTGGTATCAGTGGATTTTTCATTTGCCCAATCTTGTGCATAGTTTAAAATTTCTTAGACATATCATCATAACATTTGAAAAAGGTCAAACTTTGTTTTGAACAGGATTATTTCGATGATGACACCGTTGCTAGGACGATTTTCAGCCCTCTCTGGTACGAACAGCTGTATGGACACAGGTACACGCGGATGCCATGTCATCCTGAAACTGATATCATTCATCTCAGGCATTGATCACACACGCCACTATTTCCTTTCCCTGTCCTGATGTCACTGATTGGTGCTGCAATCAATTTCAAATGCGTTTGCTCTGTAGCTCTTAAACTCTAAAATTTCGTTTTTTATCATCGACGTCCGTAGTTCTAGCGGTGTGGTGTGTATTTTATGTTTATATGCGGCAAATATTCAGAGGAGTCTAAAACGTGTGAGAGAGCAAGAACAATGCGATTTTTTTATTTATTATTTTCTATAAGTTATACGATGAATTTTATACTTGAATTTTGTTTTTGTTTTCAAACATATTGAAACCCAATAGACAATCTATAAAGCTGCGTGTCAAATTACCGAATTGCCAGACCAAAATGTGGCTACACTACTTAAGAAATTTTTCCAGTTTAAAAACTTGTTTCGCATACAAAAAAATTAGACAATCTAATACATACCCTACTCCGGAAGTTTTTTTTTTCACGTAACACGGAAAACTCTCACACGCCAAGCCTCAGCATATTGGGGTCCACCCAACAGCTCTCATACACGCAATTTTTGGTGACGCAAGGGAATAATTCGCTGTAGTTAAGGACAAGCGTTATTTACGCCAGGGTTCTCTACTGTGCCTATAAATATACGCAACGCACGAGGCAATCGTCCGGTTCATCGCGATGAAGCATTGACGGGCGTCCAGTGTAGTTAAGGTAGAAGCACCGGCGGCACCGCCAGACAGATTAATGTCGCTGCACGTATCCCCAGTATCGCTCGCACACATGCCACGCTCGTTACCGTCAATTCCACCCATTTGCCAAGATGATTGACTTTCCACTTACTCACCAGTTTGCATGCGAGCGAGTGAAAAAATATGAAGGTGGCAGTCGGACGGGGCATGTTTTATCAGGATGATATTATTTTAGACGGAGGAAATTGCAAGGGGAAAAGTGATGTACGTGCATGCATGGGTGACATAATGTTGGGCGGTCTAGGAATACCTTTACGAAGTAAATAGTGGTGTTTATTTTTCCACTTCGTATTTTGGAGTCTCTGGATGCTAGATTTTCTAGTAATATCGCTTGAGAATTTTTTAAAAATGTATTCAAGTTTCTGTGGCTTAATCGTAAAGTGGAGGAACCTCGGGCGAGGGTGAACAAGAAACCTAATGATTTTCATTGATTGTTTCATGCTTCGTTATTTTTATAAGATTTAATATATTATTTTAACAGTCCAGTAAACACAAGGAATTTTGTGTTGTTTGCAGGCTGGGCGATTTCCCAGATTGAAAGGGACTGGAAGTATCGGCTGTCGATATACTACGCGAAAACCCAAGACTCGGGCATCTATACCTGCACGACACCTCGAGGCCTCACGAATTCCATCAAGGTACACGTCGTCGGTGAGTATACACACATACACTTAAAAATTTTTCGACGTACTCGAAAGGAAGTATCGTATACCTGTACTCATTTACCGCACGGGTCAACGACAGCCCAGAATGTCCAACAAAGCTCAAGTTATCCAAGCACCTTGTGGTATTAAACACATGTGCGTTCTCAAGCAAAATATTTTTGTCACCCACGCATTCCCCTTTTGAGTGTTAGCTCGGCGTTTGGGGTTAACACGTGTACGTGTACCGCCGTCAGGGGTAGACAAAAAACGACACTTTGTACTATGAGCAAAAATGTAATTAAAATTCTGACTTTGACCATGTATGGTAACTGCTTGAGATTCCAGAGGAAACAGAACGAATTCTGTCTCCAGAGAAGCGTAAGAGCTCGTCATTAAAATAAGTGGTCTCATTTTATAATGAGTATGATTTTTCGAGCGAAATTGTCATGATCACCAAGATTGCGTAATCACATTGTATCTACTAACAGTTTTTAATTTTGGAGCCGTAAAAAAAAAAAGATAATTCAATCGATCCAACAAACTGAAAAAAACAATACTTTCAGGAAATTGATTTCTTTTATTTTTTATTATCATTAATTATCATACAAAAATCTAAACACTCTTTCGTCCTTTACAAAAACCTGTTAAGACATGTTCTACTACTATTATTCAATTCAATTAATTATTCAATTATTACTGAATGAGGTAATTTTTCTCCATCGCCGCGTTAATTAAAATCAGTTTTTAATTGACCTACAGCGATGTGCCTGTTGATGATGGCTTCACACAGCACAGCGTAATAAACGATGCTCGAGGAAATGTGGAGCAGGATCGACGATATCGACATACTAAAACAGGATATTTTTCATGTTTTAATTAATGCATCTACCTAACAACTTTTGAGTTATTAACGTGACAGTTGATAGAAAAGGTTGTTCATGATTAGAGGGTGTACTTAAAATGAAAAATACACACTACTGAATTAGTACACTGTATAATAGTTTTAAAAAAAATATTACTAAAAAGTGCATTGAAAAAAAGCAAATTAATAAAACTGCAGAATTAGATGAGGATCGAGGCCTTAGCCAAGCTATCAAGTTCTTGGCCATGAATACAAAAATGAACTCCAGCGAGGTTTAGGTCAACTCGTACTAGTCAAACGTACTTCCTCATTCTTGTCAATCCAAAACTCCAAAACCGACCAATGTAAATCACTTACCAGTTGTTTAGTTATGTCTGGAATACATCCATGTGTAAATAAAGCTGCATAGAAATCCTAAAAAAATAATACAAGAGGAAGACATTGTGAGCAGTTAAATAGGATTAGAGCGATAAATCGTGTATTTTGTTTCAGACGTGCACTGCCCACAGCTGAAGAAACCAGAGCCACCTCTGATTGCGAAGATAGAAGGTCCGCGACTCGGTGAGGCTGCGACGTTCGAGTGCCCGCACGGCTATCGGCTCGAGGGAGCATCGGCTATCACTTGCCAGTATAATGGTAAGCGTATTTAAGTCTAATATAAGTAAATTACAACACTTTTGCAAACTAGATATTGTTTTCATTTGTATTGAACCTTTTGTTTCTCGGGTCCCTCTCTCTTTTCGAGGCACTATTTCGTGCATTCTTTTATTTTAACTTGAAACCTGAAGCTCCGTCTAGAAACAGAAGTATCGTTAAAAATAGCAAGAATTTTTAGTCTTTAAAATTTATTAATTTATTTAATTATTTTATTAACCAGGTTAGCGTGACAGCACTAAGGCTAAGTCGTGGGGGCCATCCAATCACCACCTACATGTGGGGGTGTATTGCCGCACCCATTGTCCAACCCTTTTACTGATGTTAAATCTAATCCATTGGCACAGTGCTAGTATATCCGGTGAAACACCTTGCCAGTTAAGCTGACACTCTCTGCACCAACGGTGCATCGGGTCCATTCGCCACTGTGTAGCCTTTACCCGGAGAGGACTCCATATTTAAGGACTTCTACTCCTCGCTGGTTAAGCTGGCGCTCTCTGCCGAAGCATCGGACCCAGTCTAATTAGCATCCCCGGAAAAGCCCCATATTTCAGGGACCACTCCTCGCCGGTAAAGCTGGCGATCCCTGCCTGGCGCATCGGATCCGCTAATCCCTACCTTCTAACACTGTCTCGCATTGACCCAGGCCCGATGACCTGTGGGGCAAGGCTGGAATTACTCTGAAGGAAAATTCCACGGAAAAACCCGCCCCGAAACAGCTGGGGTCACATAGGAACTTTTCCCGATGAAAACAGTTTTTGAAAATAATCTGCATTTACCTGGAATCGAACCCACGACCCCTAGAACAGCCAGTAACAAACACGCTTACCACTAAGCCAACGCCGCTCCCTATAACGACTATGTATTTATTTCAATGGTTTTACATAAATTTGATTTTTAAATGTCGCGTGCAGTTCTAATTCCAAACTTTTCGCTTGATAATAATAATAATAATAATAATAATAATAATAATAATAATGATAATAATAATAATAATGATGATGATAAT